AGTGGTGGTGGTGGGTCTGTGAATTCTGCTTTGCATTCATGAAATGAACATACCGTTTAAATAGTGATGAGATTCAGGACACAACCCCCAAATATGGCATGTTGGCCTATTGAATATTTCAAGCTGAAAGAATTTGAGAAATGGCATGTTCAGGAACAACTTTCTGACCTTCTCCTGAAGCAGGTCATAGCCCTCATGTACCAGGAAAAAGAAGCATCTAATTTATGTCCGAAGAGGAGGCACACAGAGAGGAACCTGTATGAACAGGTCTTGCTGTTTCCCTCAGTTTACTACATTCACCTCACACCCTTTATCTTTTCTTCTTCCCCCAACTTGCCTTTCTTCTTCAAATCTGGCACAAAAACCCTCCTATTTAAGTGTTTCTTTGGGTCTTCATTTCTGTATGAAGGCTGTGTCAGGTAAAACTTATATTAGAAAGTGTGTATGCTTTTCTCCTGTTAATCTGTCCCTTTCAGTTTAATTTTCAGACCCAGCCAGGGATCCCAAGAGAGGATGAAGGGAAGCTTTACCCTCCCCTACTACAGCACAGGGGGTGGAAACCCATAATGCGTTGTGCTGGGCGCCCTGCATGGCCGCATGGCCCACAGGCCAGCTTCCAGTCTCAAGGATCACATCCTAGTTTGACTCCAGGATTCCACCTGGGTTTGGGGATAGCTCAGTGCTGACATGCTTCAGCACAACCCAGACCAGTTTGGGTTTCCTTTCTACTCTTTTTCAGCCCCTCCTCTGTCCATCTAAGTAAGGGAATAAATCACCTTTTTCCTGAAAATCTCATGAGAAACGAACGGTTTCATGTGAAGTCCACCTACCTGGGCGTGTTGAACACAGTTGTGGAAGGCAGCCCACTTCAGTGGGTGTGTAGGAGGGAGAGTCCTTCCTGCCTCGGCAGGGTTTCCAGGAGAACTGAATTAGGAACCGCACATCCCGCTCGCCCTCACCATGGGGCAAGCACAGAGGACGCACTCAGTACTTTGCCCTTCCCACGATGCGGTGGCTTTAACATCTGTTGTCCTGTCTCCTGCGATGGCAGAGGCAGAGGCCTCTCCTGACCCCGTGTGTGTGGGAACAAAGAATGGCATAAGTCCTCAAGACTGCTGCTTCCCAAGCTCTTGTCCACAGACCTACCTGGTGACTGGGTTACAAACACTGTTCTTGGACCACCGCCCCAAATTCCAATATAATAGTTTGGGGAACTAACATGGAGACCACAACCCTCATTCAGGCCAAGTATGCCACAATGTTATTTTTAAATCCGCCAAGAAAACAAGAGTCTTTCCATAATAAATAGCAGTAATTCTATGAACATTTTTCCTTCTACCTCCCTTCACTTGTAGTTGAGAGGAGGGTCCCCCTTCTTTACTAAGAAGAGCTGTCTACATGTGCACTTGATCCTACCTGGCCTCTGGCCTCCATCTTGCCACATCTGCTCATCTGTTCTCAATTTTTATGATCACTGTTTGCCCCGGCCCTATCCTACTCCAGTTGAGAGTCTCCCTTCTCCCAGTTTCTATGACAACAGTCTTCTGGTTCTCCTATTTCTCTGATCAGTCCTTCTCTTCCCAGATAGATACATGCTCCCAAGCTCTTGTCTGCAGACCCCCTCTCTTCTGCTATTCTCCTTCACGAGTTCATCCACCTTGATAGTTTCAGTGAGTACATCTAAGAGGGTAGTCCCAAATCTCTACCTCCCTCTAGCCCCAGAGAAGCATTTAGATGTTTTTATTTGCCATCTCCTCTTGCCTGCCAGACCCTCTACATGACATAGCTGTTGCCCCTGGCTTCTCAGTCTGTTAACGCGAGCACATGGGCTGTGGCTCTCACATGTAACCGAACTTAACAGGAACTTTCTCCACTCTCATTATCATTATGTTCTTCCTCATTTGTTTCCTCAAACTAGGCCACTTTCCATTTTTCTAATTCATAGTCTCCCTTCTACAGATGTTTACAAAAAGATCAAACCAAATCAAAGTGTTTTTGAAGAGTTATCACTTTCTAAACTTGCACACAGTGCAGAGCTTTGATTACATTTCTTCCCCAGGTTTATTCTAAGTGGAATGAACCCAGAAGAATCCTTGACACCAGGGCCATGGAACTAGAAGGATGAGAACTCGAGACTTCTGTACATGTGATTGGCTGTCTGTTCACGGTCCCCTGAACACACCTGAGCTGTCCTCTGCCACATTATCATCCCCTCCCCTCCTGTTCTCCTAGCTGAAATTTCATCTATCCATTGCTCAAAATTTAACACAATCAGCATGTACTCCTCAAATTCCATGATCTCTCCCTCCTTTGAACCACGCCCACTACAGTGTAAGTTTCTTAATGACTGAAAGGTGTTTTTCATTAATTTCTTTATCTGCCACCATCCCCATCCCCCAACTTTGGTGCAAAGCCTTGAAGACAAATGTGTAACAAATGTTGACTCCTTGGTGTCAAAGAATTATGTTCAAACACCAGTTTTTGTATATTTCTTTTATTCTCATTGCAGATGTTGCACAGTTTTATACTGGTGAAATCAGAGTTCATCTCATAATCATTGGCATGCTATCATTTAATTAGAATGTTTTCTTTCTTGAAGGAAAAATGGGTGGTACATAAAATATGGGTGCATCTTACTTACATTTGATGGTGTCTTAGATTCAGTGAAATAAAGCATAGTTCAATTATTCCTGAAAACAAGTTTACTGCTCTGTCTTTCTGCCTCTAGGATGAATCCTTTTATGTTCTCAGCATTTCCTTGGTTCCTATTTTCTGCTCCTACTATTGTTTCCTCTTTACCTCCTTTGATTTTCCACTGTTCTCAAGCAGAGTCAGACTATTCTACTGCAATAAGCAATGTTAAATATAACAGCATCATTGTATCATGTTCCCAAATGATAAAATACTGTTTATGAGCCTAAATGTTTACTATAGAATTAATTCCAGTTAAATATATAAGCTACTCAAAGTGCATCTTTATTTTTTAAAAGTGTGAACAGGCTACCATGTTATATGAGCCTGAATTTATGATGACAACATAGTCAGAAGCAGAGTAGTATTGGAATTAAATAAGACAATCAAAGTAATATGATCTATTTAATGACAATATAATTATCATTCTTTGAGCAGCATTGTGACCTATGAGAGTCTCTAGAGAGTAAAGGTTTCTCAACAAGCCCAGATGCCCTGTCTCATCCAATTATCCTTGTTTACACACTTTCATTCTTCATTTGTCTGTGAGGCTGGGAAATCCAGTGGTCTTGGGCCATGGAGGGGAAGCTGTCCTCACTAGCACTGGCATGGGACACTTGCCATGACTCCTAGTGTTGTAGAAAGAGGACTTCTCTCACTTCCTCTTCCCATGGCCTAGGATCCAACCAAAACAGATGACTTGCCCCACAAACCCTATACTCTGCAATCCCAAACTTTCCTGCCTCTTCCATGCCTTTGCTCAGGCTGATCCCTTGATCTACAGAGGCACTAATAGCACTTTCTATAATCGTGGGAATGCTCTATAGGTCTGCACTGCGCAATACAGTAGCCACTAGCCATATTTAGCCATTGAGCAGAGCACTTGAAACATGGCCAATGCAACCAAGAGACTGAATTATTTAAAATTTAACTCTAATTTAAATTTAAGTAGATACATGGCTAGTGGCTACTATACTGGACAGAATAAATCTAGTGTCCTTTTCTACATGTGCATCTAGCATGTATATTTCTTCTTCTCCAAATCCTTAAACTTCTAGAGAATCATTAAACCTGAGAGTGGTTTTGGGGACCTCCTGAACTTGTAGTTGCCCGAGGTAATCAATTCATATTGTTGCCGGAAGCTGGTCACACTGAGAGTTAAGCTTCTTGAATCACACAGCCTCTGGACCAGTGGGCTGGAGGCCACAGTTCAAATGAGAGCTGGTGGCCAGAGATGATGAGTTTGGTCCTCAACATGAGCAATGGAGTGGTGAAGCAAGTGTGTGGGACCAGGGTCACACAAGGAGTGTCTGTGGGGGCGGGGCCTGATCCAGGGGAAGGAGAAGAGAAGCTGGGTGCAGAGAGCAGCTGGGCAGCAGTCATGCTGAGGGAGTGAGAGGATCAGGTAGCTACCGGCCTCTGACTCAGAACTTCTGGAGGCCCTGGTATCCAGTGCTCCAATCCTCAGGAGCTAAGAATTCTGCCCCTGGGAGTCCTGAGCTGTGGAGCAGATTCCACAGGCCAGTGCTTACTTGACTTAAAGCAGGGTTATGCTCTTGAGCTGTACCATTTGTCTACTCAGACACCCTGGCCCTGAGCAGGAAGGTGGTAGGGGCTGTGGGGGAAAGAGCAGAACAATTCCTTTCAGTAAGCAAGAAATCTTACTGATTTAGGAGGCTCTTTCCCCCAGAACAGCCTTTTAATTTTAAGTGTTGTGATTTAAAGAACACATCCCGCCCGGCTAGTGTGGCTGAGTGGTTGAGTGTTGAACCATGCACCAAGAGGTCACCGGTTCAATTCCTGGTCAGGGCACACGCCCAGGTTGTGGGCCAGATCCCCAGTAGGGGGCGTGCAGGAGGCAGTCAATCAATGTTCTCTCTCATCAATGTCTCTATCTCTCTCCCGCCCCCTTTCTCTCTCTCTCTCTCAAATCAATAAAGAAAAAAGAAAGAAAAGTACCCTTCTCAAAATTACATCCTCTACTAATTATAGATTCTACTTTGTTAACTAGCAAACACCTAAAACAGGGTTGGGGGAAATGGTCGTTCACAATGTATAACAGAGTCAATAAATCAGATTACTTTCCTAGCCTGAGCTTAGCTGCATTAGAGGAAAGAGACACTAGTTTGAGAAATTGTTCTAAGGTATGGAGCACTCTGGTAGGCATAGGTAAGGGGGTGCGGGGGGTGTCCCTGGAGTGGGGGCAGGGCTTGGACATGGGGATTATTGAGGACACCTGCTGGAGAAAAGGGAGGCAAGATGGCATCTGAAATTTCTACAGCAGACCCATGCCTCCTTCCGCCCCCAGACCAAGTTCTGCTGTCACAAATGCTCTAGTCCCTCCCTCGCCCCAGCACCAGGCTTCTCCTGCATGGAGATTCCAGGAGAAGAGCATTGAGCTGGCTTCATGGGAGCCTCACAGGAGACAGGAAATGCTCTTCTAGACAGACCTAGCGGGGAAAGCACCAGCAAACAGAAGGGGTCTGTGGGGTAACTGGGAGTACAGGGCGGGAGAAGAGCAGAGTGCTTTCTGCCAGCTGTGGAATGGGCACAGACTTAGAGGACCTCTAGTTGTGCGTTTCCACAGCACCTGGCACTCAATATTTAATAAATGGTTGAATGGATGAATGAATGATGTCCCCAAATACTGCAAAATCATGTCAGTTGACAGACTCACACAGGTCAATTATATACGGTCTGGGATCTGAGCTTTATTCCGTCTTAGGTAGGCACTTAATCCAGTTGTATGGGTTTACAGATGTTTTATTCCTATTTCGAATCCTAATTTCCTGTGTCCTATCCAGAATGCCCCTAAGCTTGCCCTTCAATTTCCCTTTTTCTTTTCACAGCCGAATCCTAGGCTTCATAGGGGTCTCAGAACATCTAAAAGGCATCTGAGTATTTTTTTATAGGGAGGGGCTCTCAACCTGTTCACACACAAGAACAGAAGAAGACAATCCCAGAGAGACGTGAAGTGGGACACAGCACAGCATGAATGAGGGGCAAAACCTGAGGTCGGGGAAGGGCAGCTGGAGGGCTCCTGGGCTCCTCCAGGAGGGGCTGCCGCTCACGGGAGTCCAGGGGCTGCTGCTCTGTCTGCTGAGGGAAGCGTGGTCAGCAGGTCCATGTGCAGATGGCTGGCCAGGCCCCATAGATGTCTAGGCCCTTTCCCAGGCACAGCCTTGGAGCCCCTAGGAAAACACTGACCAATAAATTAGGTTGAAAAATATGTAAGAGGCAGGGAATATCAACCTGGAGTATTTGTCAATGGCATGGGTGTTCTGGAAGATGCGAAGGCCCATCTGGCCCTTCAGAAGCCCCTTCTTCCTGGAAGAATTGGATTCATTGCTCAGGGTGAGGTGGACCATTATTTTGTCTTGCCTTTCTTCTTCGGTCAGAACGTGGCTCCTCAGGTACCCAGCCAAGCTGTTGGCCTCAGACTCGTAGCTTCCATCCAGCATCATGGTTCGTGAGTGAAGCATTCCGCACGTACACAGGAACTGCGGGCAGCAAACACAAGGTGTAAGGCATGGTTAGGCCTTGTGAGAGGGGCAGAGGAAGTGGCCTGGGCCTAGGACAAAGCCCATGGCTACTCAGAACCACAGAAAAGCACAGCTGGAAGGATCCCAGAGATCACTTAGCCCAAGGAGACTCTACCCTGGCTGCATATTGGAGTCAGCTGGGAAGCTCTCAGCATGGCCACATCCATGATCCACTCTAGACTAATTTAAAGCCCCCCCGTGATTTTACTATGTAGCCTAGTTCTAGAACCACTGATTTAGCCCTCAATTGCAGAGGCAAAAACTAAGACCCAGAGAAGCTATACAGTTCTCCGGGGATCACACAGCTAGTGTCAGAGTCAGGACTTTAAACCCATATATTCTTATTCCAGTTGTGGGACTCCATGTCTTTGTGCATGGATCAAAAAATGACTGGCTAGCCCTGGCCGGTTTGGCTCAGCGGTTAGAGCGTCCGCCTGCGGTCTGGAGAGACCCGGGTTCGGTTCCCGCTAGGGGCACGTGCTTCGGTTGCAGTTTGTCCCCGGCCCTGGTTGGTCGTGCGGGTGGCAGCCACTCGATGTGTCCCTTCACGTCGATGTTTCTCTCTCTCTCTCCCTTTCTCTCTCTCCCTCCCACTCTATCTGTACAAAAAATGGAAGAATATCCTCGGGTGAGGATAAAAAAAAAATAAATAAATAAAAAAAAAAAAATGACTGGCTAGGCGAGTGTCGTTACTCTAAGGAGTCACATGTGAGGGTTAAGGGTCACGATGCCTGCAACGTATTTTTAAATGGTACGACTACACCAACAAAACTATGTTTAAGAGCACACAAAGATGACAAAATGTTAACAGTGTTGGATGTAAGTGAGGGCATATGGATGTATGTGATCCTATTTTGTTAAACTATTTCTGCAAGTACGAAAATATATATAAATTTTAAGTTAGAGGGAAGAAAATGGTTTCACTTAACTTCTCCCACAATCTGAGTCATCAAAGAGAGGGCTTCCAGCTGGTGCTACACTGGTTGTTGTTGGCCAAAGGCATTAGCCTGCCTGATACAGCTAACTCGTCGTGGGTTTATTCTTCCCAACCCGTTGATTTTAATATGTTACTAACTTGGCTCTCAGCCCTGCAGTGCCTGTTTTTTCCACCTGGGAATGTAAAATAATGACATTTCACAGCCTGCCTTCTCTTGTTAAGCATCTTGAAATACTCAAATGAATACCATGGAAGAATGCAAAAACAGATGGGTGACTTTATGGAAAATTAGAATTACCTGAAGAAATCTTACACTTGAAGAAATCTTTTGTGGTTTGGAGGGCTATTTTTTTAATCAGGCATGGTTATTTCATTTTTTTTTTTTTCTATGTCTCATCCTATCAGCCACAATAATTATGTAGCACATTAATACATTCCTAGATTAGACTAATTCATAGACTTTAGGAATAAAAGGTCAGTAAGAAGTTATCTATTCAATTCTTTGCATTTAGATATAATCACAGCCAAACTTAGATAAAATTGTAAGATATTGTCACTGGAGCCTTTTGCCTTTTGTTGTTGTTAAAGGCACAGGTCTTTACTTCTTTTCCTTGTTTTAAACTGAAATTCATTCTGCTAAAATAAAAACAAACTTTTCTCCTAAGATTTTGAGTTAGAATCAGGAAATGTCAAAGATTTTGATAATTTTCCACAAACACCTTGTTTCTAAGAAAAATTAAGCAGCTCCTGGCATGTTGAATAGGTCTAGGTAATCAGCCCAAGCATTCGAGGGTGCAGGGGAGGCAGACCCCCTTCCACCCAAAGCAGTGTGGGCCCCCATTTGAAGCAGGGTGAGCCCAGCAGGCTCCAATCAGCTTGGTCTTTTTTAGAGTAGAGGATGGACTTCAGGGAACCTCAGAATCACTTGGGAGCTTATTAACAATGCAGATTCCAGGATGCCATCCCCAGAGATTCTGACTCAGTAGGTCTGGGGTACAGCCCCAGAATCTTCATTTTTAACAGCTTTAGAAGGTGACTCCAGGCCAGGTGCTCCTTGGCTCCCACTTTGGGAACCTCAAAAATGGCTCCACTGAGGGCCATTTTCACGGCTGTGAATAGTGGTTTCTCTGTGAGGCAGCAGAAGAGAGATTTTTCGTCTCCCCACCACTGTCTATCCTTCAGCAACTGCACCTTTTCAGTCTTTAAATGGCACATGTCACAACAGTGGGATACAACTCTCACCCCCAGGTATTTGTTCTCACACAGACAGGGAGCTGGACTTGGGACCCAACTGTCTTTCCACGTGTGATTTCCCTGTTTCTCTTTAGACAGTGTTGTGTCATCATTGGCAAAGACTAGGCCCCAAGGTATGGTTACAGGTTAATGAACTGTCCAACTATAGGTTATTTGCAGTTATTGATTCATGAGCCCAAATTTGTCAGATTTATGTTGTTGTTGTTTTTTAACAGCTATATACAAGAACGTCTAACAGATTATAAATCAAAAGTGTTTACATATAACCCAAAGTCATTTGATAATAATCAATGTACAGATTATTATTAATTTGAACAAATAATCAAATGCTGAAATAAAAAAAAATTTTTGAATAGAATTTTAAATATAAATTTTTAAATAATCTAGCATACTTGGAGAAAATGTGGAAATTTTCAACAGGTTTAATGTGGGCATTGAAAAATCTTTTGAAAAGGCAACACATACTCTTTTCCTACATTTTTCCCCCCATTAATCCTCTGAGGTTATTTTTCCATTGATTTTTAGAGTGGAAGGGTGGGAGTGAGGGAGAGAAAGAAAGAGAAACATTGATGTGAGAGAGACACATTGATTAGTTGCCTCCCACACGACCCTGACCAGGGCTGGGGATCAAACCTGCAACCAGGTACGTGCCCTTGACCGGAATTGAACCGAGGCCCCCTCAGCCCACAGGCCAACGCTCTAACCACAGAGCCAAATTGGGCCCATTGAGCCAAACTAGCTAGGGCCTCTTTTCTTAAAATTTAAAGTTTCCCATGCTAAGGAGCTACCGGCCACCTAGATGGGCGTAAATGTGGGATTTTCATGGCCCCTGATCTCTACGCCTTTCAGGTGAACACCCATTTGGACTAGTAAAATGACTAGCAATGATTTGGTAACCAGTTGGCATTTTATTTCTTATTGTCATTAATAAGAGACTTAAAATGAATGCAATAGACTTTCTCTCCCTGTGTGGAGACCCATACACATTGCCTTCGCCTCCCCATTCGCACTCCATCTCATAGCACAGTGTGGTCTAGTAAAGTGCAGTGCCGAACAGATAGAACAGTATTTCCAATGACTCTGAAGACTAAGGTCTTATGGGGCTGAATTTTCACTGAGCCAGAGTACTGATAAATAAAGGAGCTTTTTATTCTAGATTCTTGCCTTATCTAGACATAGAATATGAGGTCATTTTCTCTAGGTATGTTCAATAATAATAGTATTACTTATGTGTGTTTAGTCCCCTACAGTTTAAAAACAACCTTCACATACATTATTTCCTGTGACCCTTAGAATAACCCTGAAAGGAAGGTGGTGTGAGGATGCTTACTTTTGTACAGGTGAGAAGGAGGCCCAGCATAAGCAGCAGACTTAGGCCTAAGAACCCAAGTCTTCCTGTTTCTTGTCTTTGTCCGAAGGCTTTCTGCCTTCTGGGACCCTTTATGGTAGACGCTAGACCCTCTTCTGGAATGGAGCACCCTCCGTTTGCGTACACGTGGCCTTCTCTGCACGCAGCCCCTTCCCGCCCACCCATCCTGCAGGGACTCAGACCCCGAAAAGAAGAAACGTCTCGCCTTCTCCCGCAGCTTCCGCTCCTTGCGCTCCTGCACCGTGGTCAGGTAGTTGACGGCCGCGTACTCCAGCACCGAGAGGAACACGAACACAAAGCTCACCCAGAGGTAGACGTCCACGGCCTTGACGTAGGACACGCGGGGCATGGAGGCGTTCACGCCCGTGATGATGGTGGACATGGTCAGCACCGTGGTGATACCTGCAACACCCGGCGTTCAGTTCGGCCGCTGGCGAGGGTGCAGAACGGCCCCCACGTTTCACTAAGTCACCCCTGACACCGTCCGTCTCCTAAATCCAACGAGGAATCCCCCGGACACGTTTCCACCTCGCAGAGGCGCAGGGATCTGCCCCGCAAGCAGCCGGGCTGTCCTGACCAACTCGCCCGTCCCTTTCCACTGCCACGCCCCTTGGGACACGGGGTTTCTGCGATGCGGCTGACAAGGTCAGCAGTGCCTCAGAAAGGTCCTGTTCAAGTGTGGGACTTGACACAGTGGCCAACGGGCGCTTCTGGAGGAACCTTCCCCGACCTCCGGAGGGAACACATTCTCCCTCGTCTAAGCCCATGACTGAGGCCGTGAAGACTGCGAAACCCCTGGAGTCTATCAAACCAGTTTCTTCTTCACACTGCTCTGCTAGTCAAACCCTCACGTTCTCAGGGCCCCACCAGATTTTGTCCAAATTTACAATGATCCGTTGGTAATGTTCACTCTAGAATTCAGGGTCTGCGGAGGACGAAAGCCACAAGTCGCCAGCAGCACAACCCTCTCCTTCCCATTAATCACCACCATGGGCCCTGCCTCCAAACTCTGTGCGTCTAAACAAGGCCAACAAACAACATTTTTGTATTTACACAATAAGTTCTTGGCATTTGTAGAGTTATCTTATTTGTCAAAGCACTGAGCTCTAAGACTGCCGGTGGTGGAAGTCTCCAGCCGGAACAGGCTCTATCTTTCTGACATGACTGGAGCAGAGTTGATGCTGTTTTAGCTCCCTGTGGTGTTCATAGCCCAGGAAACAGGGCAGTGTGGGAGGGCAAGACAAGAAACCGTAGGAACGTTTCCTCCTTTGACTCTGACAGCACATCACTTAAGAACTCTGGATAATGGTTTTACTTTTTCTTTACCTAGTGATTGGTTGAAAAATAAATAAATAACCACCCTACCACACCTTATCACATGCTATTTACCCAGTGAGACTCTGGCAGGCACAGCTCTGCGGTCGATCCAGAAGGACACCCAGGACAGCATGACCATCAGGGTGGCAGGGAAATAGGTTTGGAGCAAGAAGAAGAAGATGTGACGACGCAAGGTGAAGTTAATGTATAGACGGTTGTACCAGCCTGGGGGACATAGGAAGAAGCCAGTGAGGTTCCACCTGAGAGGCAAAGACAGACCCCTTCCCGGTGAGCCCTTCTGTCCCTGACATCGCTCTCACTGCATTGCTTTGAAATGTACACTCCGTGTTCCACACAGAGCACTCGGGAGAGATCACAGCCCCTGTGGGATGGAATGATAAACCCGCTTGTTGGCACATAAATAATAATGCGAGCAGAAAGAAGGTGCATTTTAATCTGGACTCCAGAAGGTCTCAAACAGGGACAAAATTAACAAACAAATAAGCATGTTATTCCAACGTAGAAAGCCTCTAAGAGGAGTATACACAGTGACTAAGGCAGTTTGCTTGGCCACTTACCAGCTAGGTAATGTCAATTAACCTTAATTCCTTCTAGCCTCAGTTTCCTCATCTGTAAACTGGGGATAACATGTACACCATAGGTTTGTTGAGTAGAAATTAGATAATTCATATAAAGTACTCAAAACAGTGGCACATTATAAAACCTATAATAGAACTCTTACTAATGGTTTTAGAAAGAAAGTTGATTTGAACTTCCCAAGAATAGAAAAGAAAATTGTGCGGCAGTACATATCAGAATGAAAGAGAAGAGAGGGATGAGCACTGCAGGCATAAAGGGAAGCAGGCTTGGGCAGGCTCAACACCAATACAACCTTGGTGGGCTCACTCTCTTCCAATGTTTCATGTTGTGAACAGAAGAGTGTGGGTTGGGACATGGGAATGGGGAAATGATGGCCACGCAGGGACAGACAGTAGCACAAAATCTTTCCATGGAAGGGCCTGGGTTTCTCAGCACTGGGACAAAGGGCAATGAAGTGAGAAGTCCTCTAGGACCCCATAGCTACTGCAGAGCTGTTGTAGGCTGAATTGTGTCCCCCAGAAAGATATGTTGAAGTCCTAACTCTTAATACCTGTGAATGGGACCTGATGTTGAAATAGGGCCTTTGCATATGTAATCAAGATAAGATGAAGTCATAATCCAGTGACTGATGTCCTTAGAGAAGAGGGAAATTTGGACACAGATACAGAGACAACACCATATGAAGACACAGAGACACGGGGAGAATGACATGTGACCACGGAGGTAGAGATTGGAGTGGTGCAGCAACCTCCAGAAGCTAGTGAGAGCCAAGGAGTCCTCCCTAGAGCCTTCAGTGATAATTACTTGTGGCAGTCCAAAGAAATTAATACAGAACTCATGGTGAGATTAGAGAAGAGATGACAAATGGATCCTCTCAAAGCTTCAAACATGGCCCAGGGTCCAAGAAGAGATTGCCCTAGCATTAACAATGAAACTATAGATCTAAATGTAGGTATAAAACATTGCCTCGGAAAGCTATCTGTCCATTTGTTAAGTCAACCAGGTTTCAGATCAGCATGTAAAATAAAACACCACTTTTGTGAAATTACATAATTAAAGTAAGATGTTGTCACCCTGACAGGTTTGGCTCGGTTGGTTAGAGCGATGGCCCTAGGACTGAAGGGTCTCCAGTTCAATTCCTGGTCAAAGGCATGTGCTTGGGTTGCAGGTTCAATTCCCAGCCCCAGTCAGGGTCATGTGGGAGGCAACCAATTGATATCTCTCTCATACAGATGTCTCTCTCCTTCCCTCCCTCTCTTCCTTCCACGGTGTTGCATTCTACCTGACAATAAAGACCTTTTCCAAATAAAATTTGAAAAAGAAAAAAAGATGTCTCCAAGGGTGTTTGCTAAATTGTTAGGAATGACTACCTCTGGCCATGGGATTTCCAAGGGCAGCAACTTTTTTACTCTCTGCTTTTAAGTGGTGTTTATGTTTTGGGGGACTATGAACTATTTTAATAAGAAGAATGTATTTTCTTTAGGAAAGGAAAGGTTAAGACTGAAGAAGAATTCTACTTTCTTTCACATTTGAGTCAGACCACGCAAAAGTTAACTACCGGACCACTTTGTGAAGTGTCTGACTGTCTAACCACTATGCTATACACATGACACTAATACAGAGTGGTATTGATTGTAAGCTGTAATTGAAAAATAAAAATTAATACATACATTTACAAAAAAGAAACACACACACACAAAAGAAGTTAGCTACCGGTGCTGCTGTAGAAGGCCAGTCTGGAAGTGGTGTGGAATTTCTGAATTAGGAACTGAGACAGGGAGATCTTATCTGTTTTTAGGGATTCATCTCCATGCTTCCAACACAGCATCAGATCTTCATCTCTATGTGCATCTTTGAGGAGGGGAAATAATCAATTTGCCTCCTTTGCTTCTGATGCAGGGTGAAGCAACAGGGAAATTCTATGCCAGCCTAAGAGCAAACAGTTAACACTGGCAGCAGCACTCAGTCTCATGGTTACTAAAATGGCACAAATATTGGAGAGAGAATAAGGCAAAGATTGATCATTAATCATACTGATACTTACAGCTTTCCAGCTCCAAAGAACAGGTCTGGGAGTACAGGGGAAAGTGGCTGGAGTCCATGTTGCACATGGCAGTGACTGTAATCCTAGAAAATCCAAACACGTGTGTTGGCTCGTACAGTGAGTTGTTGTCTCATCCATCTGCCCTGAGTAGGAGAACATGAACCTGACCAAGAGCAGCTGCCTCCTTGGCGTCTGTTTCAGAAGTTTGGAAACCCAAATATCCGAATTACAGAACCTTAACTCTTGTCTTTCTGCAGGAGACATCGGTGCTCTGCCTGGATCCCAGCTACTAAGGGTGTTGGCTGCCAATGGCTCACCTCTGCACTCTTCTCTTGTCATTGCTCTCAACCAGCCTCCCCAGAGATACCTGGACGATTATGCCCCCTTCCCACACCCCACCCAAAGGTATTAGCATCTGATTCTGGTGAACTGTACAGGCAGGCCAGGAAGATGTGAATAAGATGGTGTGGTCGCTCAAGTTAGCCCAGAAGCCAACCTGCAACAGCACTCAATAAACAGTAGCTATTTTTTAAAAATCTTTATTATCAATAAACTAGCATGTATAAGCTCTCAATACCTGTGAATGGGACCTGATTTTGAAATAGGGTCTTTGCACATGTAATCAAGGTAAGATGAGGTCATATTGAAATAGGATGGGCCATAATCCAATGACTGATGTCCTTAGAGAATAGGGAAATTTGGACCTAGATACACAGAGGGGTGGTGGTACATAAAGATCATTGTCTCCCTCAACTCATTCAGTCCCATCTAGTCTCCTAATCAGGCTTAAGATCCCCAACAACAGGGAATTCACCAGCTACGAGGGTGGCCATTACACTGGAGTGTTGTATTAGTATCAGAAGACTTGTATCATCCCAAGTAGCCCATAGACACAACCGCAATTACAAACTCTTCAGGGCCAAAGAGGCTGGCCACACATATTAGAATGGCACTGGAGCCCTGGCCGGTTTGGCTCAGCGGTTAGAGCATCAGCCTGCGGTCCAGAGAGACCCGGGTTCGGTTCCCGCTAAGAGCACGTACCTTGGTTGCAGTTTGTCCCCAGCCCTGGTTGGGTCGTGCGGGTGGCAGCCACTCAATGTGTCCCTTTCACATCGATGTCTCTCTCTCTCTCCCTCTCCCTCCCTCCCACTCTATCTGAAAAATGGAAAAATGTCCTCGGGTGAGGATGAAAAAAAAAAGAATGGCACTGGACAGAGAAACCGTCCACGTGGGTAGTCACCTCATGCTGTACAGCACGTGCCCATCCGGGAACACCCTCAGCATGATGTTGTCCGTGGTGGTATCATGGGTGAATGACCTTTTGGAGTGAACAAAGAAGACGTCGGGGACCCAGATCTTCTTCACCAGCCGGCCATCAAAGGTCATGCTCTTGTTGCTGGTGCTGGAGAAGGACAGCCTTTCATCCTTCCAGTAGTGCCGCAGGTACAGGGTCATGGTGAAGTCCTGGGGGAGCCAGGTGAGACCAGAGAGATGGCTTAGAAAGCTTCCTTTCCTACAGAATTCCAATCTGAAAAAGCTCACTTCCTGTTCTCCTCCAAGCGTGGTTCATCTGACTGCTCGCATCACTTGAGGAACACTCAAGTGTAAGGTGCTGGGCCTCATTCCCAGAGACTGAATCAGAAAGCAGAAGGTGGGGCCCAGGGATCTGATTCAAGTCCTCAAGTTATCTTTACCCATGACACTCCAGAGCCCCTGCTTTAGATTTTACTGTAGCTGGGCCTACTTCCAAGTCCCAGTTTTATTCCCACCAGCTCTGGCCTGGCCCACCAGCCACCGGCTGTCACAGAACCGTAGCCTCGAGACCCCACACTCTAGGTGGCCCCACCAAGAGCACTGCGTACCATGTCCACCTCTGAAATGCTGTCCAAGCTCTCCACCTGCACGTCCACACCCACTGGGATGGCAGGGCCTGCGGGAGAGCAAAGATAGCTGGTTAAGACACATTTCTCTCCACCACCAGGCTGGTTCGACTTCTACGAGGGTTTCCTTGCTACTTCCTGTCGCGTTGGGTGCCCGAGTTTTCTCCATGAGGACAGAGACTGTGCCTGCTTTACGTGCCTTTCCCGAGCCAAGGTGGATGTTTAATCCGTGCTTGTTGCAATGAGTCAAAGAGCTGGAACACTGCCTTCTACTCCCAGGACTATCTCTGTAGGGAAGAGCCACTAATGTTGCTCTAGTGCGTGAGTGGAGACCCTGGTTGTTGATTCTCCTGTGATACCTAAAAGGGATGGAATGGTGCCTAAGAATGAGGCCAAAGAGCCTCTGACACAGGGTTGGGACACCTCCACACCCAGGGCTAGATTCATTCAGTCATTCAAACTCTACCTGCAGAGTACCTAACAGTAGCGGGTCCTGTCCCTGGAGGCCTCTGACGTGGTGGGAGATGAGATCTGTGCACAGTTAGATGCAGTGGAAGAACATCGCACAGGTTTTGAAATCCTTTCAGGGCACGTCAGATGAGCAGCACGAAAACACACCGCGCAGAAGCTCGGCACTCAGTGTCATCTGGCCTGTGACCAGATCTCTAAAACCATGTCTGCCTGCGGGTTCCTGCTCTATTTTGTGGTCTGGGTGATGGCTACACTGGTAGGTTCATTTTGCTGTCATTTAGTGGGCTATACACTTATAACCTGTGCACTTTTTTGTATGTATATTATGCTTCCATACGTTTTTTTTAAGAATTTTGATATTTTTAAAACACCTAGAATGAGGAAAACCAAAATCCTGTGTCTGTCAAACATATTAATGAATGCTGTTATACTCGCAGCAAAAAATGTGTCTGAGAGAGTCAGGTGGCAACTGGACTGGGCCTCCCGGGGAGAGGGCATTGTCCAGAAGCCAGCCCCTGGGCCCTCTGAGCCCTGGCCAGGAGTGCTGGACCGGAACACCCTGGCCCACGGTGGTCTGAGTGGGGAGAACCTTAGGGTGTCAGGGGGAGTCCGGTTCTTAGGGAATGAGATGGACTAGAAGGGACCAAGACTTCAGCCGTGGGCGGAGAAGGAGGATCAGAGATCCTGAGGGAGCAGGAACTAGAAGGCTCAGCCCTATTTCAGCGTAAATGCAGGGGCAGGAGGTCCTCCTGGTGGTGGCCCTGGGCATTGGGCGGGCTCACTGATGGCCCTAAACCTCCCCCTGAGGCTTACTAATACTAGTTACTTGCAATCCCACCATTAAAGATTCAGGTTTTTGGCTGAGCTCGATAGGATGGAAGCATTTATTCATTACTAGTGGGATTTCATTGATATTTTCTGTGGTCTTGACCATGAAAGCAAATGAGTACAATACTTTTTTTTTTTTTAAATTTACTTTTTCCCTCTCAGATCTTTTTATTTCCCTGTGTTCTTCAACTGATGGCTAGGTCAGGGCCCATGAGAAATCCCTGCTCTAAAGCCATATTCTCTCCTTATTCCAGGTTCCAGGGGTACTTTGAAGGCAGCAGAAGAGGGGTGTTCGGGGAGCGGCGGAGGACGCCTCCGCAGGGCTGAGTAGTCTGCCCTTTTCCTCCCGAGGGCCTTGCAACACGAGGGAGGGTCTGCCAGCACCCTGCGGGGGCCCTTTCCCAGAACCCAGAGCGCTGCACCCTGCACAGCCGTGTGCTCCCACTTTGCTCTCCAGGAAGTGGAGCGGGTTAATTCCCGGTCCTCTGGACTCTTTGTTAGCCTGAGATGTTAAACGGCCCCGAGTTGGAGCTCTTATCCCCTGCAGGTGCTGCTTCTCGTGGAAGGTGTGCTCTGCTCCACCCTCCCACTGTGTGGCCTGCAACAACCAGCACTTCAGAAGCCGAAGGGAAGAAACAGCATAGCCAACACCCTCTTTGGACTCACTTCCCCGTGGCCTGGTTTTCAGATAATGCGCACAGTGTTTAACCAGGAGCTGATTTGGGCGGAGGACATTTCACAGATAAAACATATCAGGTTGCTTAATGCCTGTCACTGTGTCTGTCTGTTCTCAGGGCCTGCCTTGCCCTCCACAGCGCCAGGCACCGGTCTAAGAGAAATTTGATAAAGCCTGGGAGGGTGGCGTCAGTGCTCTGCAGGTACGGCCGCAAGGGAGTGCAGGTCAAGTTCACAGGGAACCTGGTGTTGGGGGTAAACAATCTGTGTGTTCAGGAGGCTCCGGAGCTGTGTGTTCAGGAGGTTCCGGGGGAGTCATAGCTCGAGCTTGAACAGAACCAACAGCCCTGCCCTGCGTGGTCCGAGCACAATGGGTTTGATCTTGGCCTTTGACCTGCCCGAAGCTGCTCCCAGGCTCTCCTGAACTCTCCATGTTGAGGCCCATCCCAAACTGGTTATGGGGGAAATTCTTCCAAATTACTGATCTTCCTCCTCCTTTCGTGAACAAGTTTATGTCTTGAGCAGAACTGAGGCGTATCAGGTGTTAGAAAGAAAACAGTCCAGTTAAACTAACGAGGCATGCATGCCTCGGCTGGTTAACATAGCTGTGGGGTTTTCTGCTTTAAGAGAGGGATCCGGTGAGCCAAATTGAGTCACTGGTGGGATCTCAGGCAGGATGCCAGTGAAGTGACAGATTCGAGGCAGCATCAGGGAAACACGTGTTCAGCCAAGGGCTTTGCTCGGTTCCTAAGCTTTCTGCTGTTACTTCTCTTTACATGGTCCTGGAAAGCATATCAGGGATTTATCAATTTTTAAATTAAGATATATTGCCCTGGCCAGTTTGGCTCAGTGGTTAGAACGTCGGCCCACAGACCAATGAGTCACGGGTTCGATTCCGGCCAAGGACACATACCTCAGTCACGGTTCGTCCCTGGCCCTGGTGGGGTCGTGCAGGAGGCAACCAGTCAATATGGCTCTATTACTTCAATGTTTCTCTCTCTCTCTCTCCCTCCCTCCCTTCCACTCTATCTGATGAGAAATAGAAAAGTATCCTTGGGTTAGGAATAAAAAAAAAGATATATGTCATTTCTTCCCTGCTGACACTCCAAGAACGAATGTGAGATAGAATTTTCAGACAAACTGAAATTGAGAGAATTTGCCAGCAAGCGTCCTGCCCTAAATGAAGGTGTTTTCAAGCAGAAGGAAGTGATTCCAGAAGGAGAGCTGGACATGCAAGAACAAATAAAGATCAACAAAGATGGTAAATATGTGCATAAGTGAACATTGACTACATAAAACAATACTAATAATGTATTGTGGGGCTGAGAAAACAAAAACACACAGTGAAGATAACATTTAAGTAGGGAGGGTATAGATGGAGTAAGAGTGTTCTGAGGCCTTTGCATTGTCTGGAGAACAGTAGAAACAGCTGATTAACACACTGGAGTGATAAGCCAAGGATTCATATTGTTTTCTGGGGAACCACCAAGAAATAGTAAGAATATGTATTTTCAAAATAGAAAAAGCCAAAGTAAGAATAAGCCAAAATAATAAATCCAAAAGAAAGCAACAAAGGGGGCGGGGGGGGGCGAGATATATAGAATAGGTTGGACAATAAAAAGAACATGGTAGGATGATAGATTTTAAACCACTATATATACTATTCAATAAATGTTAATAGACTAAATGCTCCAATGAACAAACATTGTCCAACGTGATAATTCCGAAATGCTGCAAGTTTAAGCATTTCGTTTTCAACAGAAATATTAGCGTAAATGACTTAGTGTAAGTGACTTAGCTCAGGTGGAAATTCACCGTGCACCAAGGACAGAAGCTGGGCTGTGGGGCAGGGTTGTTTATGGATATTAATTTTAAGAAATTGGTTAGATATCCAGTGGAGACCTCTTCTGGACTTAACCACAGCTAGGCAATTAGAGTTTGAGTCAGAGATCAGGCTCAAGAGGGAGGCTGAGTCATCAGCAGCAGAACTGTTGTAGGAGGGGCTGAGTGTCTTCGGGGAGGAGAAGAAACCCAAGGACCGCAGAGAAGGAGCCAGGGAAGAGCTGCATCACAGAGACCACAGAGGGACGAGGTTCCCAGAGGAGAGTGGCCATCGGAGACAGGTCGGGGAGGCCAAGGCCCAGGAAAGACTCCTCTACTCGGCAAGAACAGCGGGGTGGAGATGGTGATAGGTAGGGAGTGGAGACAGCTGGTGGAGGTGGCAAAGTGGAATAGTTTGACAGAGAAGGAAAATGGACACAGGGCCTGGGACACTGTACAACCTCACTTCTGGGAGTTGTCCAGTGCGTGTGAATCAGCACCAAAGCAGGGCTTGTGAAAACCAGCCGCCTGGGCCACACCCCCAGAGTCTCTGGTTCAGGAGGCCTGGGGTGGGACTGGAGAATTGCCACTCCAACAAGTACCCGGCGATGCTTGAAGAAGCGCACGAGCCAATGTTCGGGCCTTCGCTCCTAAATCAGCCCTTTGCTGTTTAAATGTATCACTGGAAAGGTTCTCTTGTGTTCTAGAAGCTGATATGGGGAAAGCATTACAGGTCCAGCCAGTGCTTCTGGTCACATCACATCTCCCAGTCTTCCCTGGTTCACTCAATGTCAACCTGCCCAATGCTGACCTCTGGGTTTGCCTCTCCAGACCCAGGCTCCACTCTGCTCTGCCCAACTCTGGAGCTGACCACTATGGACAGCACCCACATTTGCAGGCCCAGCCCCAGCCTAGAGTACAACTGGAGGCCATATGCTATATGCTGGAATATCTAAAGGTTATGGCACGCTGAGAAACTGCAGAATGACATATGTGCTGCCCTACTTCTTTGACACCTTCATATCAACCCAGGAGGCCACGTCCAACTTCAGAACTGTCAGAGACCTCAGCGTTCCGGGCCGGTATGTGGAGGGCAGGGAGGGCAGGCCCACTTCTGAGCCATCTTTCCTCTTTTCTCGCCCACAGCCGCACCCTGCACAGGGCACCTCTTGCACATGTGGACACCCTACCTACATATCTAAGCTCCATCCAGCCTGCTTCTGATAGCCACCCGCGGCCACTGGTCAGGACCAGG